GGATTTTTCAGAGAAATCTGTGTTTCTCTGTTTTGTCCTCATTTCCTTCTATCCCAGGCAGAAGCCATGTCCCAGAGATGTCTGTGCAAGCCTTGGGTGTGATCCAGAGCTGTGATTTGAGGTGCCCAGACCCAACTGGGTGACCTAGTGGCTGATGTCCTGCCTGCACTCAGGCACAGCCAGGCACAGAGCTGCCATCGTGTGCCCAGCCTGGGCTGTGCTGCAGGGCCACACTCACTCCCACCAGCCCCTGAGCCTGGTCTGGGGGGATTTCAGCCATCAGAAGTGGGGAGATGCTGGAGCCTCCATGGCCCCTCCTTTGGGCACTACAGCAATGGGGATGGGGTGCCCTGGCCGAGCCAGGCTCTGATTTCTTGTGCCTGGATGTCAGCCATGTCCCTTTTGCTGTCCCCAGTGGTCTTTTGGCTCTGTGCCACACCTGGAGCTGGCACCTCCCACACTGACCTGCTCTGGGTCCCAGAGCAAACCCAGCCCCAACCCTGCCCCCTGTTTTTTGAGATCAGATAAGACTCAGTCCAGTACTAACAGCAAATCCTCTGAGGATTTGGACACCTGGCTGGTGTTCTGTGCTCTCCACAGCCCATTTTCAGTTCCTCACTGGCAGCACCCCAGAGGGAGGACACCACTCATCCCTCCTCACCCCTGGGACAAGAAGCAGCAGCTTTTTCCAGCCTTTTCCTCCATTTTGCACAAAGCAGCTCCACTCCTTGTTTTCCAAAAGCTTTTAGGATCATGTACTACAAAGTCCCCAGCCAAAGCTGTAAATCACACAGCTGTGTCCTGCAGATGAAGACTTGGTTTGGGTTCAGATGTGAGTTTTGGAAAGGCCAACACCATCCTGAGCACAGGCAACAGGAATTATACAAGTCCACCCTTGAGAACAGCAAACTGTGAGAGCCCTGGTCCTCCTCCAGGGCTCCTAAAGGAGAGAAGTCTTTGTTGGTTGATTCTGGATCCACAGACTGATAAAAGCACCATGTTTGTGTTTAACCCTCCCATTTCCTTAGCCTGTCTGGGCTTCTGTCTTCTACTACAAACATAACTAAAAAATAATAGAAGAAATGAACAACAACAACAAATAATCCTGAAAAGCCCTTTCAGGTCCAGCTGCTTGTGGGTTCATCCTCCTGCTTCTGCCAAAGCTGCCTTTTGCGGTGACAGATTAAAGCAGTTTTTTGAAGGGTATCCACATGGTGTGTGCAGCCTCAACAGGCACTTCCCCTCTGGGAATAAATCATCACTTTCAGTTTTTTAACCCAGGATTTTCATCCAGGTGTTTCCCATAGGTTGGAGGAGGAAGTTGAAATTATAATCAGAAGGTGCAAGTGCTAAAGAAACAACAAATATGGGCTTTTGTGGGGGTCTGGCACAGGGGCCCCTGCCTCTCCCTGGGTATGCCAGGGGCTGCCCATGCATAAGGGATTTCTGCTCCACTGACCCCATGGCAGCACATTTCCCTCTTCCCCCAAACTGGACTCCAGAAAATCTTTTGAGAGGTCACGCAATAAATCTTGTGCTTCAGATCCCTATTTAGTAACATTAAGGTTGCAAAAGCCCTCTGAGATCATCAGGTCCAATCCTTCTCCATGGCACTGCCAAGGCTGCAGCTGTCCATGTCCCCAAGTGCCACATCCACAGGGCTTCCAAATCCTCCCAAGGATGGGACCCCCCCACCGCCCTTGGAACAGGATGTTTCTGACACAGGAAATTGCAACTCCAAACTCAGCAGGACTATCAGGATAAAATAAAGGGGAGAGACATGGGTTGTGTGGGGAAGGAAAGACAAGATAAACAGGAAAAAATTACCAAATAAAGATACTGAAGAATAGATTCCAGAGGGCTGAGGTCCACTGAGTCCGGTGAGGCGAAGTAAGAACAGAGAGACACCTGAGACACCACAGAACCCCAGCAGGGTTTGGGTTGGAAGGGCCTTTAAAGCCCACCCAGTCCCACCTCCTGCCATGGGCAGGGACATCTGCCACCATCCCAGGTTACTCCAAACCCTGTCCAACCTGGCCTTGGACACTTCCAGGGCTGTGCCAGCCAATATTTTGCTTCTCTAGAGCCCAGATGAGCTACAAGTTTTTGGGTAGGAAAAGGCCCATTGATAACACCAAATCTCCTGCCCTGGTGATCTGTCCCAGCATCTCCTCTGCTCCAGCTGCTTCCCCCAAGAGCTGCTGATGGCACCAGGCTCAGTTTCCCTTCCAGACAGTGATCCCACACACAATGACTGCAGGGGTTAAGAAGCAGGCAGCCACACTGCACAAGAGCAGCTCCACATGTCACTCTCCCAGCAGCAGCTGGGGCTCCAAATACAGAAATAAAGAGGAGAGAAAGAAGAGGCCAACAGCTCCAGGCTGTCTGCAGGGACAAGACTGAATGAATGGTCTTCTTGGTTTTTCCTTACTGTAGCACAAGAGAAAACACCCACAGAATGATGAAGCTCCCAACCAGATGTATCAGAGGGTGTGGAACCCTCCCCTTCACCTCCCTGAGCATTTGGGACAGGTCAAGCAGACTCCAGCCAGGAATGCTGGAGGTTAAAAAAGCCTTCAGCTTGTGCCAGCGTTACAAGGCCCAATCCCTGTGGAAGGATCCATCCCTTTCCCAGCCTCCTGCCCATATTCCTGGGAGGGCAAGGGTGCCCCAGTGCTGCCAGGAGCTGTTGGCACTTCATTGGGACTGAAAACACTCCATGGGAAGGCAGGCAGCTGGGCACTGCCATGTTCCCTGTCCATGCCCATGGCAGGATTTGGAGCTGAAGGCAGGAAGCTAGAGAACCCAGAGGCATCCCTGGGACTGGTTTGTGCAGGGGCTCCATGGAGAGCCTAGAAACAAAATGGGTCATTCAGTGCCAGGTGCTGGCATGGCATCACCAGGAATGCTGCTGCCTCCAAGACTGGCATCCCCCCAGGGCTTAGAATAACACCCCCCTTTCCTCCTTCTGTTTTCTTGGCCAAATAGGGTGCAAAGATGCACCCAACTGTCCCCCCAGGGCAGCCTGGGCTGACAGAGCCAAGAGGCTGCCCTGTGAGTGTTTGAGGGGTGTGTGACCACCCCTGTCCTGCTCCCCTTCCTGGGGCACACAGGTTCCCAGCCCAACACCTGCTGCTCTCAGTGCTGGCAGTGCCAGCCCAGGGAGGAGACTCCATTAAATAATGCAAAAAAAAAACATTTATTTACCAAAACCACATTAAAATACTACAAAGACTGTCTCATCCTGCCTCATCTCGTGGCTCAAGATCCTGGAGGAGGCTTGTAGAGCTCACGCAGCAGCACCAGTTTCGTGGCCAGCAGAACTTCACGGTGGCCCAGGTGGTTCCTTCTGCCGTAGCGGGACAGCCGGGAGGCCTCCAGGGCTACATCCCCGAGGAGCTGGGGACTGCCTAGCCAGGCCAGCATGGAAGCCACCAGGTAAGAATCCCCCGTGGAACATGTCTGTGGGGAGAGCAACCAGCAGCATCAGCACAGCAGGCACAGCCCAGCTTCAGTTTGGGGCCATGGAATCATTCAGGTTGGAAAAACCCATGAAGAGCAAATCCAAACATTCCCCCAGCCCCAAGACCATCATCAATCCACCTCATCCACACATCTTTTAAACCCCTCCAGGGTGGCAACACCATCCCTGAGCCCTGCTTAGCCACCACCCAGCCAGGGACACACAGATGAGCAGGTGGAACTTGGGGAGCAGGAGCCCAGCTGGGACTCACCCGGTTTAGGAGCTTGCAGATATAGGCTGAATAAGCCACTTTCTTCTTCTGCCTGTGGAGTTGGAGGCAGTGGAGGCTCTGCCAGGCACATCCCTCTGCTGCCCTCAGGGGCTCAGGGTGGGCAGAAGGACCGAGGGGGCTGTGGAGGGCAGGGGGTCCTGGCTCCATCACCGCTGCCCACGCTCAGGTCTGGGGTCACACACACGTCCTGTGGCTGCAAAACCTCTGCCGAGAGAGCCAAGCAGGGGCTGAACACACCTCTGCCCTCACCCTGTCCTTGCTAGGGCACTAATTAGCATCAGGCAAATTAGGCACTTACAATAACAGCAAAGCCATGCATCACATTGCATAAACAAAACAGAAACCACCCCCTCTGCAAAGCTGAACACACATAAGAAAAGCAAAGTACAAATAAGGCATTTCAGGAGATTTTTCTTCACAGCTCACCTCTGAGAGCTCCTCCAGTCTTGTTCTCCCCCAGGAGCAGAGAGGGAGCTGGGATGTGCTGCCTATAACCAGGGGGGATCATTGCCTGCAGCTGGGAGGGGAGGGGGCCCATGCAGCTGCACGGGTGGGATGGAGGTGGAGACAAGGACACCTGCACCCTGTCTCCTACACTCAAACCAGCCATTCTTGCCCAAAATTCTCTTAGGTGAGGCTGTATTTGCTCCCAGGTCCCCTGACAGCCCCATAGCTCTAATTAGTATTATTAATGAAATTAGCCCTTGGTGCTGGATCTGGGGGGTCTTTTGTGTGGTTTATTCTACATTAATTTGAGGGGGTTCCAGGGTTTCACCAAGCATCAGGGTGAGCAGGGTCTGGGCGGTTCCTTTCCCGGGATCCCCATTGCCCATCCCGGAGCTCCGGTCCCGGTCCCTTTCCCGGGATCCCCATTGCCCATCCCGGAGCTCCCGGTCCCTTTCCCGGGATCCCCATTGCCCATCCCGGAGCTCCGGTTCCTTTCCCGGGATCCCCATTGCCCATCCCGGAGCTCCGGTCCCTTTCCCGGGATCCCCATTGCCCATCCCGGAGCTCCGGTCCCGGTCCCTTTCCCGGGATCCCCATTGCCCATCGCGGAGCTCCGGTTCCTTTCCCGGGATCCCCATTGCCCATCCCGGAGCTCCGGTCCCGGTTCCTTTCCCGGGATCTCCGCCTGCAGCGCGGAGCTCCGCCCGCCAGGGAGCGCTGCCGCCCCGGGAGCTCCGAGGCCGCTGCGGCCGCCAGGGGGCGCCGCGCGGAGCCGCCTCACGGCCCGGCCCCGCCCGCCGCAGGTGACACCCCCGCCCGGGGAGCGGCGGGAGCGATCCCGAACCCGGTCCCGTCCTATCTCGGCCCCCATCCCGGTCCCCGCCGTCCCAGTGGCCGCCATGGCAGAGCAGGAGAGTTTGGAGTTCGGCAAAGCCGACTTCGTGCTGATGGATGCCGTCACCATGCCCGAGTTCATGGCGAACCTCCGGCTGCGGTGAGTGAGGGGCGGGCGGCGCGGCCCCACCGCCCCGGAGCTCCGCGGGTCTTCCCCTCACACACGGCGGGTCTTCCCCTCACACACGGCCCGCTTGGGATGGAGTGTGAGCGAGGTGAGGGAGCCGAAACACTCCCGGAGCCTCCTCCGCCTGCTGCCCCTCCCTGTCCGAGCAAACCGCACGAAGTGTGGATTTTTCTTTGAAATGGAAGAGCCGGGTAAGGGTGAGGGTGCCCAGGGTGCGCCAAGTCCTGGGGGCTGCGGCGGCTCTCGGTTCCCCCTCTGGAAAATCTCCCTCCGGAGTCACCTGCCCCAGTGCCCATCTCCCTCACGGGACCATGGAATGGTACAGGAGTGAAGGCGCCTTAAGGACTTTACTTTTAAACGCTATGTTGTTCTTCTCCTGTACCACAGAAACACAGGGTGGGATGGGGTGGGAAGGGACCTCAAAGCCCATTCAGTGAAACCTTCCACTATCTCAGGTGGCTCCGAGCCCTGTCCAGCCTAACCTTGGACAATTCCAGGGATCCAGGGGCACCACGGCTGCTCTGGGCAGCCTGTCCCTCTCCCCCTGGGTTTCTCGCCTATGCTGACATTCTGCAAAGTTGCTTTGGGGAGAAAGAAAAAGAGCAATAAAAGTCACCAAGTCCAAGGTTGCTCCATCCCATGGGGGCATTGCAGCCACTTGCTGGTTTATACTTGCTGTGCTAACATTTCGTGATCTTTATGGTTTTATTTCCCTTGTAGACGTGGTGGGTGCTGGAAAGATCCACATTTTCCTGCCTGCTCTCAACCACAACTAAATCCTGGGCAGCACTGATAGAGGACAGCCGGGAGACCCTAAGTCTGTGGCTGCTTTTCACTTTCCATTATAAAACATTCATGGGATCTCCTCCTGATAAACTCTTATGCCCCTGCTTGTGCAAGGATTTGATAATTGCCGAAGAGAAGCTTTTGGGGTAAAGATGTGACTTACTGGCTTGTGTCCCTCCCCTCTTCTGCTCAGGTTTTCCTACCTGTTCCTGTCCTGCCACTTGTGTTCCGGTGGGTTTTGGAATCAACCAACATATTTTGTGCTCTTTTCCTTCTATATTTTGGATTTCTGTTTGAGCAGAGAGAGCATTTGTGTTTGAATATAAGAAAATCATAGTGAGAATGGTTAAGCTTTGAACATGATTTCAGATTTAAATGAATTTTGCAGTGCCTCTAAAAGTTTAAATTTGATTCTCATTTGTACACTCCATTACATTGTAATTGTATTAGAAAGGGCTTGCATGCAATATCTTTGTAATTAGAAGGAAGAATGTCACGGTTTGTTCTTGGGGTTTTATTCTTTGGTTAATATGTACTAGAAATCTAAATGAAGTATTGGAAATGGATTTATAACTTAAAAAACAACGTGGCATGTTGGTTGCCTTTCAAAATCCATTGATAGGTGCATTTCAGGAACAGACTTTGCTAATTTTGTATGAAGGCATGAGAAGAACAAGCCAGCAGTCCTGGATCCTTACAATAAATGTGCATCTTTATTTTTTCTCTGTGCTGTTGCTGATGGTGCCTGAGGATGTATCCAGGACATCCCTGCTGTGTGTGATATGCCTTGGAGGCCCCGTTTAACTGCAGTGCTTTGGTCCCAGGTACTCAAACCTGCCCAAACCCAGGTTTATCCTCTGACAACAGTTCAGACTCGAGTTCTTCTCACCCAGCCGTGAGCTCTGCCTGAGCTTCAAGGTCATCTGGTGTCTGTGCCCTGGGCAGAACAAACTTTTGTCAAAAGCTGATTGATACTGTTAAACTTTCTAACCTTGGTGCTGTCATCCTCTGCCTCCAGACCTGTGTGCACTGGGACATTTGGGAAAGCTGATGTGAATTTCCCAAAAGTGTGGCCTTCCAGTGCTGCTGGTGCTTTCCAACACTCAGGCAGCACCTGCTGCTCACATTTTACTGCTCTGGAGAGGGCAGTTGACTCGTGGTGCTGACACATTGATGCTGTGTGAGACCCAGCTCGGGACCTGCCAGGGGTTGGCTGTGTCACTGCGGCAGTGACAGTCCCCTGTGTGCTGAGCAGAGGGAAGGAGTTGCTGCTCCTTCCTCACTGAGTGCCCCGTTTACACTTGGATGGGCTCCACCCTGTTCCATAAATCCAGCTTTCTGCCAGAGCTATTTTTGTTCGGGGTCACTGGCTGACCCAAGACAGGCTGTGATGGATTTAGTTCCCAAGTGAGCCCAGATGTGGGTGGAATTGAAATCATACCAGTTTTGGTGCATGCAAGGATATTTCCCCAAGGATGTCTCTAGTGGGAAAAAGAGGAATGGTGAAGCTGCACTTTTCATTAGTGTAGTATTTGAATTCAGTGATGATGACATGGGCTGGATGAGTGTGGGTGGATGCAGTGTGAATTTACTACCTCCTTTCCCAGCCCCAGTGCTCATGCCCAGTTATTTGTAAGTTTGAGTGGTGATTCAGCAGGGATATCACTGTGTCAATACCTTTTTGTGGCTGTTTCTTGCAGATACTTAATGAATGTTTCTTTGGACCCTCAGCAGTCACTGCATGTTACATTTTATTGTAAATAAAATCATCATGCCCTTGAATTCCTTAGTCCTGAGTGTCTGGTTCATCCCAGTGTCTGGTTGTGATTCTTAGTCATCAGAATAATTTTTAAAAAAGAAACCCAAGACTATGGGAATGGTCTGTGTGGACTCAGTAGCTTTGTTTCTTTATGGTAACCTCCAAAATTATAACAGACGATTGTTTCTGGAATGCTCATAGATCGGAATTATTAAAGCAGCTGTATTTGAGTGGTTTGTGTGTCAGTAATTGCCCATTATCTCTTCAGTGAGTGCCTCATCTCTGCACTGCTGCAGGAGTAACTGGCAATTTCAATCCCAGGACATCAGATTAATTGAAGGACTCCTTAAAATAGGGAATCTTTTTGTGTCTAGCAACTCTCAGGTCCTGCCACTGGCAGGCAGGTATTATCTGTGGTCAGGTATTACCTGCTGTGATGGGAGAATGCTCCAGACTTGCTAAAACTCTCTATTTCACTGCTTTTGACTTAACATGACCATGACTATTCTGTGGCAGGTGGACTGAGATGGTGCTTGTGGAAAGGGAGTGTTGGTCTGGCCAGAGCTGCTCAGCTTTTGCAGAAATTGTGGTGTAGATGAAACTATTGAGTAAGAGAAGCAAGAAACTGCACCACCTCATTTTCTTCATGCTATAGTGGAAATCTCAAGTAGTAAAAGTTACCATTTTAAATTTAATTCCTTGTAAGGAAGCTTATTTTTCAGAATTATGAAATATCCTGGTTTATCAGGTGATTTCTTGCATTGCAATGCAAAGACCACTCACTGTTCTGTATACCTTGCATTTGTCTTGACAAACAGATCAAACCTCAGAACGTTAAAAATGGGATCTGTGGAATGCCAAGAGGGAGTTCTTGAATTATCTGTTGGGCAGCCTTGGTGATGCCTGTGGGAGTCACTGCAACAGTGAGTTGCTCATTTTTCATAAGCATTGTGCAAATCCCCCAGGAACACGTTAGATCTGTGTCACTGTTATTAAAGAATTCAAGGATGTGTGAAAGGAAGACAGTGAGAGCACCTGGTGATATGTAATGATTGTAAAATGAATTTGGGGTTGTTTTCCTCTTCTTTTAAGTACTTCCAGCATGAAACCAGCTGTGGAAGGCTGTACTTGCTACTCAGATAGTTCTTGGTCATCCCAGGCCACCTGAGCCTGGAGTGGCACAAAGATCTATGGGTTAATAGTCCTTGCAGCTGTCTCCCTGTGCACATGGTGATTTCTGGCCTCTCAAAGCAGCATTTCATAACAACACAGTTCTGTGTTCACGTAAAAACACACAAAAGTGTTTTTCTGATGTTTCTCAACTAACTCACAAACCCCAGCATTTTCAGATTAAGGCAACAGGTCTAGATCTGTATTTATTGCAGGGCCATTTGAAACGTAGATAATATTTGCTATGATTATTAATAGTTTTGGCATCAAGAATCTATACTGAAAATCTGGTTCTCCTGGGAATGTGCTGAAAGTATTTGGTACTGAATGGAGTGTTTGCTTTGCAGGCAGGGTTGAGACATGGGCTGGAGTCCTAGAAGAAGGTTGGAGCAAACTGAATGGGGAATTGGGCTTTAAATGCTGCAGAGGGATATCTCAAAGGGGTTTTCTCGAGGTTGTTGTGTGGAGGTTGTACCTTTTGGGCCTCTGTCAAAAAATTCCCGTTGTTTTTCTGGACGATGTGGTGAGTTGAGGCCATTCTTTAGAATCCTAAAATCACAGAATAGTTTGGGTTGGAAGGGACCCTAAAGTTCATTTGGTTCCACCCCCATGTCCCTTCCACTGGAGCAGGTTCTTCGAGTCCCTGGCCTAGGATACTTCCAGGGAAGTACTTTAAGTTCTGAAAGGTCAAACTCCTGTTCTGCCATTCAGTGTCCCCTAGATCTGCAGTCTGGGTTGTTTTCCTTTCCTTTTTCAGGTCTGGAAAAGCAAGCACAAGTTCTGGGGTTGAACAAATGCTTCAGTTTGTCCCCATCTCCAGGAAATGGGGTCCCTGTGATCCATTAGGAACAATTCCTAGCCCAGCTGTGGGTCCTATTTGTTCTTGCTCAGTACCACACTTGTTCTGTTCTTCTCTTGATGAACCTCAGTTGCAGTTTTGGAGTGAAGGGTGCTGTCTGTATTACACTGATATTTTTACACTGACTTCCTTATCTTTTGAGCACCATCTTAAACATTCATATTTGGGGTTGAAATTGCGGTGGGAGAGGTTTGGTTTCCTATGAAGTAATAAACTGTATTTAATCCCAGAAGAGGAAATACTATGTGACTGCTTAGTTTCATTTGTGCTTTTGCTAATGAAATATTCATGCTTCATAAACAAGCTTTTCATGCCTTTAAGCCATTTTAATTTCCTCATTCTAAATAGTTATGAATATTTGAATTGTTTGTGTGGTGTTGGATTAAAGAGCTGCTGGGA